GTATCACAGTACTGCAATTTCAGGATCCAATACTTTTCTAACTCCTTGTCTGTAAACAACTACATTATAAGGATGAGCAAAATCGTAGAAACTGCTATCAGCAGGAAAAATAGAATGAATCGGCATTGCAAGAGCAGCACTTAATGCATAAATATGCATTAGTTCACTATATCCACCAATAGATACGACAGAACGCAACAGTACGGATACGTTGGTGTTTCGATTCTGGTGTACGTGATTGTTTGTGCATAATTTTTGGATGATGAATCATAGCAATCTAAAAATAAACATTTTCCATTCATATATGCAATTTATATCATGGAGCATTCAACGATAGTCTACCTTGGTTTTCATTTTTTAAACTGTTATAAATGTAAATGTAAGTTACTTTTCCACGATAGTGGATTCTTACTATTATTTATTAAAAACCAATAGGAGGGGAAGAATGACCAGGTAATACAATTTTTGTTTTATAAATCATATTTACTTAATTATTCCATACAAACAATATGTCTTACTTTTGAGCAGTATCATCTCAATGGATGTGAGAACCCTAAGATACAAATGATGATCTTCAGCACCATATAGAGCTAGTGACACAGTCCGGAAGAGGCAGTTGCCATCACCAATTGTAGATCTTAGTGTATATTTCTGCAGAGTTTGAGGTTGATTTTTTTTAATTAGCAAAATGGATATTAAATCTTCTAATCCTGTAATTTGATCTATTGGTCGAAGTTGTGGAGTAACAACAGATGTTTTCAGCAATAAAATCTCGATCAAATATTGAGTTTAATTTGGTATAGATTTCAATCTAAAATAAGTCAGGATTAAAATTAAAAAAAGATAACTTACACAAAACTTGTTTCCTATTGTACATACAGTATACATGCATTCTCTGTTTTATTGAATGAAAGTTTAAAACAATTTTTAATAACATTTTTAATAGACTGAAATTTTTTATTAATTTTTAAAAGCCCTGCTTTGCTTTGCTTGTGGTTGCCTCCATGAGTACCCTGTTTTTCAAACAAATCTAATAAATAATAAATATAATTATTAAAAAATACCTTGTCAGACTTTTCTTCCAATCAAATTCATCTCCAACATGACAACAGGGCTTGCAAAAAAGTTTCATTTTCGGGGTTTTCCATAGTTTTAAAAGTTCGTTATTCATCTCAAGGTAAGTTGCGTCAACCCACTTTTTACATGCCCCGCAACAAATTGTTCCATCTCCACACCCTTTAGAGCATATTACACAAGGGTATCTGACTTTATCTTTCTTCAATCGATTGATATTGAAATAAATACAAAATGAAAGCTGTACAAAAAAGAAAAAAGAGCTTTTAAAAAGTCAAAACCGCAAATTTTAAAGAATTGTTTTAAACAAAACGTTGACAAAAAGCACTGGCGAAGTTTGTTTAATTCATAAAAATTTGGTAAATAACTATACTATTTGCTCTTTGTTACACTATTCGTTAAAAAATTCAACTTTTTGTAACAATTTCAACGCAAACAATTCCTTTAGGACATTAGCATTAGCAATTTGTATAATACTTTCGGGACATTGGTAATGTTTTAAATAAAAATGATTTCATTTGGAAATTAAATCCGCACAAAGGAGTTCGCGTGGATATGCACTTAAAAGCTGCTAAGTCAGAAGAAGTTTAAAATTTCATTTATAACAAGTACTGTTATAATCTTTATTTTTTTCCGCATCATTATATCATTTTAAATTAATTATTTTTCAGTTACGTGATTTGCAGATAGTGCTTCCAAAGGGGCCCGTTTCCTATTGGGTACACCTTTTTTGTTCCCATAAATGTTCAGATAAGTATTTTTTGAACCACTGAGTTTTTAATATGCGGGATGCCCTTAATGCAGCATCTTCTTAATTTAAAATTTGGTCAAATATGTGAATAGATTAAGTTTATTACTAATTGTTCGTTATTTCCGTGTTATTTTGAGTTATTTCAAATTATTTTGGATTATTTCGGGCTATTTTGAGTTATTTTGAGTTATTTTGGGTTATTTTGTGTTATTTCGGGTTATTTTGGGTTAATTATTTGTCAATCATGTCGCATATTGTATCATTGGTCAATTATTTGAATAAGTTAAGTTTATTACAGTTAATTCGTAGGTTATTTCGAGTTATTTCTGGTTATTTCGGGTTATATTGGGTTATTTCGGGTTATTTTGGGTTAATTATTTGTCAATCATATCGCATATTATATTATCGGTCAATTAGTTGAATAGATTACGTTTATTTAAGTTTAGTTCAGTGTCTCGTGGCGATATTCAGGCTACAGTGTTAATGTCTGGTGGCGATATTCAGGTTACAGTGTTAATGTCTGGTGGCGATATTCAGGCTACAGTGTTAATGTCTGGTGGCGATATTCAGGCTAGATTTTATAAAGTTTATAAATTTACTTTTAAAGAACCTTTGAAATTTACTGCTTAAAAATGTTGTAATTGCTTTTTTTTTTTTACTTTTTAATTCAACAAATTTTTTGTACTAAGAATTTTGTTTAGAATTGAATAAATATATTTTGTTTGTTATTTTATTTTTAGTGACACTGTTTGTCACATATTGTAGGTTTTAATCTTTAAAACTGATTTAGAAAAAAAAGTTAATATTTTCTTTAATATGATTGTATTATTCTATTTTATGAGATATTTTACTAATAGTTTAATTGCTTTGAATTGTTTTTAATTTTAAATTTGATTACCTGTATGTTTTTGTCGTTTATTATTGCCAATAAAGTTTAAGCAATCCCTGCAACAATAGCTGCTCAAACACCCTTATCTCTAAGTGGTAAATAAATAGTTTGTAGGTTTTTATAAATAAAAATATCATTCAGCTATTTCAATTGTTACTTTTGTTGTTTTTACGCTTATCTTATGAAGCGTTTGTACGCTATTATGATAATAATAAAGGCCCACATCCTTTAGTGTACTTAGGGTGTGGGCCCAGAATAGGGGAAAAGATTTCTTTAACCAAAGTTAAGTGGAGGAAGGGTTAGAGTGGGCAGGAAAAAATACATAATTACATCTAGAAATAGAAAATTTAGTCAAGTGTTTTTAGTTTAATGTGTATATTTTTATTGATTTTTTTTGGTTAATGTTGTTTGTAAATAAATAAATACCAACTTTGTTTCTTTTTTTTTTTCTTTTTTTTTTATATTAACTTATGTTTGTAAAAAAATTTTGTTGAAAAGATATACATTCTGTTTCTACACTAAATACCATCAAAATTTTAGCCAGCAAAACATGTAAAGTATTAAAATTTTAATATTTTACATGTTCTGCTGATTTGCTACTGTGACAGTAATTCTCCATGTCAAAATAACATTTTATTGTCAGTTAAGATTTTGTGAATACAGTTAATAATTTTCATAATAATTATTGAATTAGGGGTATCTAATAAGTATTTACAATAAATTCGTAAAGGAAATTAAAAATCAATTTTTCACCGGGAATGTTCTTTATCGATGTATCATTATCTGTACATGAAAACATTAATGTTTTTAATTAAAAGGATTGTCTTTTTTCTAAAAATAAACATTTTATTAAATTCTTTTTTTATAATTTTTTTGTTTGTTTGTTTTTTTAAACAGACAAACATAACAAAATGTTTTGATAATTTTACATTTATTATCTCATGATGGTAGAGTTCTTTTTTATGTGTGCTGCAAATAATATGTATTACAAACATTTTAAATTTTGTTGCTTTTTTATTTCTTTAGTTCTATTTTGGAAATAAAGGACCCAAATATGGTTTTAGCCCTAAATTTGGGCTCACACGTAAGGTGTGAGCCCAAATTTAGGGCTAAAACGCCCATAGCTTTTTTTTTTTTAAAGGGAGTGTGGATTCTGTAAAGAGTAAAATATGAGGAGAGGGAGCGGTGAAATACTAATACGCCACATCTATTATTAGTATTTTTGTTGTTGGTTAATCTACCAATTGTTAACTGATGATGCAGATTTACTTTTTTATATATATTTTATTTTGTTATTATGTATAAATATATAATAATTAAATAAAATAAAACGTTTTTTTGTTTAATGTTTAGTTTTAAAAAAATATTCTTTATAAATAAAATAAAAATTTGTATTTGCCAAATTCACGTCAAGAGGTTTGGGTTGGTTTGGAGGGAAATAAATAAAAAAAGGTAACTTTGTTTAAAAAACGTTCATAGCAAACAAAAACGGAAATTCGGGCTTTTTGTTTATAAAATATGTTTGAATTAATAGCTTTAACTATAATCAAAGTTTTAAAATGGTGAAATGAACGTGTGCTTCTACTTTTTGTTTCAATAACCATAGTTCTAAAGATACAACCAGGAACCAGGGTCGGGCTGGCATTTAGGGGTCCCGGAGGAGACATTGATGTAGAGCCGCTTTATATATAAAAATTCCCCTATGTTATATTTTAAGGATCTTTTTTTTTTTTTAGGTACCTTTCTCATTTGCGCTCCTTGGATATATACGTTAAACCCTTAATCACATAGCAGGAATCCGGACCTTTAGACAATACAGGAGCCGGGGCGAAATACCCGGAAAGATATTTTTATTCCTAAAAACCAATATAACAAAATCGTTGAACAATATAACAAAATCGTTGAAAAATATAGCATAGCCAAGCAAACATTTGAAAAGTATAAAAATCTAAGTGACATTTAAAAAATCGTTTAAAAGTAGCTAAACAAAAATTTGATATGGCAAATCAAACTTTAAACAAATCTCCTTTAAAAGAATGCAATCCTGTTAAAATAGATACTATTCTGCCACGATCATCAAAACAAAAAAACCTTTAAAAACATGTATAAAAAACGGGTGTATATGAATACCGCACCGGACCACACCCGACCAACACCGCAGTGTAAAAAACAATTTCAGTCGAGCGAAACATGTATGTTTTGCATGGTTTAATGATAAACTACAACATTTCTTATCGCTTATTTTCTATATAATGCCTTCATAAAGTTACAATGACATAATTATATTTTTAATTAAGATCTCCATCTCGGAGCCCATTCTTACATCTTCCCCTTCTTCTGTAAATGAAATGTTTTACTGTTTGTGTTTTATAATGTTTTAATACTTCCTCCATAATTTTATAGGACGTCTTTCTCTGTTAGGATATGTCTTAAGAATCGGTTCTTGATGATAGCTTCTTAGTTGTGTCGGCATAGTAGCTGTTATTTCCTTTTCTGGCAAAATTGATTCGTTCTAAAGGTATTCTTCATCTTTCTCTTCTTTAATTGGTATCGGATTAAATTGTATATTCGTTGGTACTTTCTTCATGTGTGAAGTATTTCGAGTTTTTTGAGAATTGTCGACGTAAGATTTTGCAGTGATCGTTGTATCATTCTTTGCAGTAATTGTGTAGGGTTTGAACTCGAATGGTGCCGTAATTTTGTTATACTTTTTTTGTTTTATCAGTTTTGTATCCCCGATATTTAAACTTGGATTTTTTGCGTGGTATTTTAAATTGTGATATTTTTTTCTGTATAACTTAGCATTCTCTTGTCTCTTTTTGGCTTGATCATTGATATTTGTATCGACCCTTGTTTGGAATGAAGGTATTGTAAAACCTGTAACGCGATTAAACATAAGTGTAGATGGTGGTATTCGGTTTGTGCAATGGGGTGTGGTACGGTAGGAAAACAATAAGTTTTATAATTGCTTTTTCCAGTCTTTCCGTTCAATGTGTGCTGCTCGTATTGTTTTAATTAGTGGTTTCATAAACGATTCGGCTTGTGAGTTTGCTTGCGGTCAAAGCGGAGTGATTCGTTTATGCTGAATATTCAGTTTGTTCAAAAACATCTTTATTTTGAATGAAGTAAAAGGTGGTCCATTATCGCTGACAATCGTTTTCGGTATTCCATATACTGCAATCGTTTTCTGTAGAAAATCAATAAGGAGGTCAGCAGATGTATTATGTATAATATCGACAACCGGAAATTTTGATGTTTGGTCTATAAGGACTACCAAATAAAATCCATTAGGTAAAGGACCAAGGTAATCTATATTAACGGTGTCCAAAACTTCTTCTGGTGTTGATGTGATTAATAGATCGGCTGGTGCATTTTGTTTACCAAGAGATAAATTGCACATCGTTTTATATATTCTTCTACTTTAGTGTCTAAACCAGGAAAGTAAACTTTTTCTCTAAGTAATGATTTGGTTTTCTCAAATCCCATGTGACTATTATGAGCAAGCTGTATAACCGTAATTTCCAGAGAATGTGGAAGTACAATTCAATTTGCTTTTAGAATAAGGTCTTAAGTCTGATTTACTGTAAGTTCTTGGCGTATATTACGGTAAGCAAGTAAGTCTTTTTGAAATTTTTTTAGTTCTGGCGGACAATTCGGATGTAATAGTTTATGCCAGGTATTAGTAGTAATTAACTCTGTAAGTATTTGTAGAATAGGATTGGCTTTAGTTTCTCTTTGAATATCCAGTAGTGAAAGGGCTTTAGGACATGCGTATTCAGCTGTAAAATTGACATATTTTTTTAGCCCTTCGTCCTCACAAGGGTCTACAGGGTGTCGACTTGAATAATCAGATATATTATTTTTTCCTTTTACGTAGTGTAGATCAAAAGAATATCCCTGTAATCGTAAAGTCATATGCTCAATGCGAAGTGTACAATACTGTAGCGTTTGGGTTGTTTAAAATCTTTACAATAGCTTCATAGTCGCTGTACATTTTAAAAGGGTGTCCAAATAGGTATGTTTTGTTATGCTTGCAGGCGTATACTATAGCTAAACATTCTCTTTCGAGCGTAGAGTTGCGTTGTTGTACAGGCGATAGCGCTTTAGAATTATAAGATATTAGTTTAAAATCTTGTTTATTTGGAGTGTTTTGAACAATGACTGCCGATATGCCTACAAGACTTTCATCGGTGAAGACAGTAGTCTGTTTGTTGGGATCAAAGTATCCGACACATGAGTCCAATGTCATAGCGTTTTTTAGTTTTTCAAATGCATGCTGTCACTCAAGGTTCCAGTTCCATAAGGAATCTTTATGCAGAAGGTTTCTCAATGGATAAATAATTGTACTGTAGTGTAGAATGAAACGTTTAAAATAGTTCATAAGCCCGAGAAAACTTTGGAGAGCTTTTGTGTTTTCTGGTGTTGGCATGTTCTTGATATAAGTTTTTCCGGACCTGGTTGCATTCCTTCTTTTGAAAATATAAATCGACTTTTTCTTTTCCAAATAAGCATTTTTCAAAATTTAGTGTTAAACCTCTCTGTTTAAATCTTTCTAATACTTTATGTAATATTAAATCTTTTGTATTCGAGGCGAAAATCCGAACATCGTCGGCAATGTTCAAAGTACCTTCTATATCTTTTAAAACTTCTCGTAAAGCGTTTTGTAGTTCCTCCTGCGCGGAGTTTACTCCAAAATTAAGTCTTTTATAACGTTTAATTTGATTTTCGGAAAGAAAAGTAGTTATTGATCTGGATTCCGGTGCAAGTTCGAGCTGGTGAAATGCCA